GCTTTATCCTCGGTGATACCTCAATGGCCCGAACTTACAATGTCGGGGAAAAGGGAAGAGATATGGGTTAGTACAAACCACATGTACTAAGTATGGTCCCTATGTATAAAAATTGGTAATAAATGATAAAAGGCACCATTTAGTCAAAACTATGCACATTGAGCAACAAATAAATATACACATATAAGGAACATCACAATCATATCAACATATAAGTAACTCAAGCAACATTTGTGCAATGCCAAGAATAAAGCCCCATTGTCCTATCCAAAGATAAGTATCACGTTAAGCAACCCATTTCATACTTACAACACATTCTAAAAAATAACATGTTTCATACATCAACACTAGTCATAGCTTATCAACATAATCATAAAGATAATCATAATCATAGTCACAAATCAACAATACTAGCATCATCCTATAGGATCCCACATGTGCAATGTATAAGAAAAGTCTCATACCCTCCCTCACACTATGTAGTAACCTTTACAACAACCCTAATAGAAGTTCACATACATAACTTTTTCATACCTTTACTTTTGGGAAATAAGTACCATAACCAACATGATACCATGTGCGCTACATGAAATCTGGTATTTTTCCCCCACATCGAAAATAGAGGGTTAACACTTTCCTAAGGTGCAACCATTCGTACATAGATATTCTAGGCAGATCCACTAAGTTAGAGTTCTATGGGGGAACATAGTTAGGGGACGAGAAGATTGTTTCTAGAAACCTTGACTAACTAAGAGTGAAGGTTTCCATCTCATGAGACAACACATATATTAGGAATCCACACTACTAGTTGTGAAGAAACCCATGTGGGAGGCCGGACATACTAACGTGAGACCTCCATCTCATTTACAAGCCATTTCGGTGCTAAGAATTTTTTCCTTTAGTAATCATCATATACATCATACAAGTTCACATTAGCATCTTCTAGACACTTATGTAAACATGTTATCATAATAGTTGATAGGTGATCACAATTGAGGACTATCCTTTAACTTTAGACACATTATTATAATCATGAGAAGCTACGTTGAATCATACAATTATAATATCATTTCATTCTTACATACTTCATATAAAATTCATGAATCTAGGGTTAGGGATGAGGGATTCTTCTCACCAACATCACAACAACACAACCAGTTATATCATCCCTATCACATAAGTAGATTTCACCTTGCATAATTTAGATCAAAAAAGATCGAGATCATACCTCATTGCCATTCATGGGAATTCATAATTAAATACCCAAAAACTTACAACAAACATATGAAATAGGGAAATTCATGAAGTATAAACATAACTAAAATTAAAGTAAACAAGTGACATGTTCATCACCGTGAACAGTTCACCTTAATAAATCGAAAAATTTAGCGATTCGGCAAAAATACATGGGTCAAGTGAAAATTCAAAGTAATTAATCAATTAAAAATTAATTCATACTTAAACAACATTTATTCATCATATTTCCTCACAGTTGATTTACAATTTTGTTTTAGAAAGAAGACCCATGTGATGAGTAAACCTCTATTTTGGGGGATTTAGTAATTATCTTTTGAAGGATCTTTGGGGAAAGGATTCCCAAGAGTGAAAGAAACCATACCTTATAGATTATAAATCTATTCAATTGAGTTGGAAAACTTGAAGGCTTGATCTTCTTGTTGGAGCTCTTTTGGTCTTCAATGGAGTTTTGGAGGAAAGGAGAATTTGGGAGAGAGAGAGATTTTTTAATTCCACTTGTGGGACTTGATTTTGTATTAGAATTGACCTAAAATTGACACTAATACATTATATAGTCACCTATTAAATTACCCAAAAGAACTCTCACTCAAATGGGTTTATTTATGAAGTCAAAACACCCAAAATATGGCTTTTACTATATCCGAGAATTAGGGGCATGTCGCGAGGATATTTTCCTATTTTACTTTAGAATTTGAGTTGAGGGAGTAGGTTCAATTTCATCCCCGCTTCTCGAGCCCAACTCCATATCTCCATGTGATGGTTGTGCGCCGCGCAGCTGCTTTGGCAACTTTCTAGCCCAAGTTTGGGTCCTCCCCAAGGACTCTTCCGGTGGCCCTTGGGTTGTGGTGACTGTACTTTTTTACCCTCTATACTACACTCTACCTATTCAAACTGTTTTTACATGTTTTTGACTAAATATGACCATGTGAAACCATCAAAAAACATAGGGACGTCAACTAGTTGAATTTTGCTACTTTCTGGATGTCAAGGCTTTTCTTTAATCCTATTGCTCCAATAATTCTCAAAAAAGTTGCTGATACTTATTTAGGTCTAAAACAGTTATTACTCAACATATAAGGATCTATTATAAGTCGTGGAAATTCCCGGGTGTGTCAATACTCCCCCCTTAAGAACATTTGTCCCCTAATGACACTCTAAATCTTTTTATAGGAAGAAAAGACATAAGACTAGAAGCCAACCAACCAAAAATTCCATCATGAGTCACAGATCATAGGAGGAAATCTTAACTCCTTTCTTCACATAAACATAGCATCAACAATTAGGAACTTAATCCTCATATATCATAACAAAAGCTCAACTTTTTATATCACATAAGGAGGTACTACCTTCTCCATTTCAATATGAGCTCAATATGAACACTAAAAGTTTACATCTTGATTCCTTATCAAAACATTATCCATTATGCTCATTAGAATCTTCCATTATTACTTACAGCACACAACACATTCAAGTGAAAGCCAACATATCAAACATATTTCATGGAAAGGCAAGAACTCAACTTAGGCATGAATTTCTACTATAATATGCACATATTTAGAAAAACATGATAAGTTCAACATTATTAATAATAGTCATATAAGGAATTACTAACCTTAGTCTCGGCGAGGAGTAAGGGAAAAAAATGAGGATAGAGGGTCTTCATGTCGACCCCCAAAGCTTATAGAGGGAGGATGGAAACCTGGTTACCTATACACTTCTTAAGAATAGAAAAATGGAACATCAGATGAATCATGTCCAACTCACTTATAAAATTCAATTCATGGGCCACACTCCCGACCCTCTTACAAATTTCAAACGACCTTAGATAGCATGGACTAAGTTTCCCCTTCTTTCCAAACCTCATTACCCTTTTCATGGGTGAAATTTTTAAATAAACCCATAAATTCAAGGTACCTTTTTCTATTGTCGGCATAAAATTTTTGTGGAATTTGAGCCTCTTTTAGTCTATCTTATATAACCCGAAACTTCTCGAGAGCTCTATAGACCAAGTTGGGACCAAGTAGAGGAAACTCACCTAACTCATACCACCCAACATGGAATCTACACCTTCTTCCATAAAGTGCCTCAAAGGGTGCCATGGAGATAGTAGAGTGGTAGATATTGTTGTAGGAGAATTCTATCAAAGGTAGGTGATAATCCCAATTACCTTTGAAGTTGATGACGCAAGCCCTCAACATACCTTCAAGAGTTTAAATAGTGTGTTCCGCTTGACCATCTGTTTTGGGATGAAAAGTGATACTAAGTTTCAATTTCATACCAATCCCACATTGGAAAGCTTTCAAAAAAAAGGTAGGTAAATTGAGTTCCTCTATCAGAAAGATGGACCAAAAACTCCATGCAATCTCACTATTTCTTAGAGGTATAATTTGGCATATACTTCCGCCGAATAAGTAACTTTGACGGAAAGAATATGTGCGGACTTGGTCAACCTATCCACAATGACCTATATCAAGTCAGGTTTCCTTCGGGTACGAGGCAACCAAACTATGAAATCCATGTTAATATCCTCCCACTTCAACGTGGGATGTTTATATTTTGAGTCAGTGGTGCTAAACTTTTACATGTTGTCAATTCGGACATTAGCAACAAAACCCTCTATGTCCCTTTTCATACCATTCCCCAATATGTTTCTCGTAAGTTGTTGTACATCTTTGTGCCACCCGGGTGAATGGAATATCGGGAGTCATGAGCCTCTTCCATTAATAATTCCCTCAACCAATCCACATCTGGTACACACAATCTTCCTTGGTGCCTAAGCACCTCATCTTCCCCTTGAGAGAAGGACTAATTAGCTTTACTAAGGACCATTTTCTTTAACTCCATCAATAAAGGATCAAGGTGTTTCTTTGATTTCACCCCAACCACTAGAGACGACTCGGAGTTATGGCGAATCATGACACCACCCTTTAGGGAATCGTTTAGTTGGACACCCAACCGGGCCAACCTATGGACCTCTTTTACTAGCTCTTTCTTATCTTCTTCATCAATGTGTCACACTACCCATGGATGCTCGACTCAAACCATCTGCTACCACATTAGCTTTCCCGGGATTGTAAAGCAAACTTATATCATGATCCTTTACAATCTCTAACCATCTTCTTTGGCATAAATTCATGTTTTTTTGGATGAATACATATTCTATACTCTTATGATCCGTGATCACAATACACCATTTTAGGCTTACGGCCACCCCAGTAAGTGTAGCCTAAACTAGCAAAAAGTGTGGTCTTTGATAAAAGGCAACACTTTTGGACTTTAAGCGATACTTTTCTAAGGGTGCCAAAAAAAAAGGGTAACCTTAGAGTTTAGGAACCAATTATCATCTACACTAAAAAGTGTAGCCTTAAAGGCAAAATGGCAATGCTTTTATGTACCTCATGCAGCAACATTTTCATCTCATACAACTACACTTCAAAGTGTGACCTTTACTTTCTTATTGCCCAAAATTTTAAAGTGTTGAAGTATGACAACGACTTTAAAGTGTTGCCTTTTCTATCTAATGTATGACAACAATTATAAAATGTTCTCTTTTCAATTTAATGTATGACAACACTTTAAAGTGTAGACCTTGCACATGTTCATACCACAATTAAAAGACCTATGGCCACACTTTTAAGTGTGGTAATACTATTTAGGCTATAAAATATTTATATGCCACAACTTCTAATTAAAAACCAACAATATTGCTTTGCAACAAATAATCTCAAGCATTAAAATGGCTATTAAGTAATTCAAATATGTAGATTTACAATAAACTTTAAAAGATAGCATGTCTTGTGTACATACACATACCTATAAAGCAATATTATAAATATGTTTGCACAATAGTTCACAAAATACTCTTACAATTGTTTAATTTATTTTAGCAATGAATATATTTCACAAAATCAAACATAATGTACTCAAACTTTTACAATAGTTCAAAAACTCTTCATTATCCTCTTCAATGAGATAAAATTGACTTGCCACGAGCCTTCAAATTTGATCACCTCCATTTCTCTACACATTTAAAATGTACAACAAATCAGTTTGCAAAAGTACATCATAGAAGAGGCAAGAAGTTCCAGATTGCAAATTGTAGGCTGTAGAGTTTGAGTTCCAATTTAGAGGTCCAGATTCAACAACTCCTCTAACATAACATTAATGTGGCACCATGTCTAACGGGAGTTTCTGACATGACCATACTTACATGACAATTTCATGCTTATGGAAACTTACTTTTTACTTTCCAATAGAAAATTTAGCATTCATCAATGCTCTTATATTCTGAGGATATATAGGCATAATGTATAAGTTATTCTCCGGTTAAAATATTAATTTTACGACATAAGAGTGATAGGTACGTACAAGAGTACTTAAATACATACCCAATAAGCAGGCAGCAGTGAAACCAGCAACACCATAAGAGAGGTGAATTACAAAAACTCCAGAAAAGCCAATAACTCCCATCATGAACAGCCAACCTTGAGGGAACTAGATACTAAATGCACCTACTGCATATGAAAAAGTAAGACGAAGAGGAACAAACAACATCCACTAGATGAAATTCATCCTCTCGAGCAGGGCACCAACTATTAAAATCAAAGTGATTGCCGCGAATGCAAACTTGAATTAGACCATTGAGACATTTGGAAACTTTCCAATAAAAGCTTGACTTGTTTTGAGCTTTTGTTCCAACGCATCAAAATTTGTTTTTCTAAGAAATTGAACTAATGTGTCACCAAAAGCTAATTGGTATCCCCATCCAACCTAACAAACAAGGACTGTTGCAAAAGTGTAAAGGGCCATCAACGTCGAGTTGAGAGGACTGTTGCAAAAGTGTAAAGGGCCATCAACATCGAGTTGAGAGCCCATTTATTATTCACAATACTACCATAAAGGATAACAACACCTGCCATTGCGAAACTATGTAATTAAGTAATCGAAAGTATGCTCCAGAGGCGTAATCAGAATTTGATGTTCACGGGTTTTGAATGTTGTTGAACCCATACCTCGTCTTAGTTATTGGATTTACAGTTAAATACTTATACAGATTCAATGATCTTCCATCTAAGCAAAAGTTACTAGACTCGTCCAAAACCCATACTCAATACTCCTTCCATTTAAATATTCTTTAATTACTTTTCTTTTTAATCCGTTCTAAGAAAATGTCCCTTTTTCTATTTTGACAAGTCATTAGTTCTAACTTTTCAAGTGATATGTTAAATTGGACATTTTGATACATTTCACATGTAGACCATAAACTTTAGAACTCTTCTTTCCTTTGCTAAATTTCTTGGCAAGTGAAAACCAGACAAACAAACTTAAATGAATAGAGTATATTTGCTCCACCCCTGAATCTCTCTATATAAATTTAAGCTTTTAGATAAGATGATCGCACAATTCAATAAGATATAAGAACAATTCAAGTGTCTAAACACGCATTAGCTTGAATGGTTTTTATGAGCCAAACATATGAAAATATTATTTGAGGTACAGAGGTAGGAATGTTAATATACCTGGAACACTTTGAAGGCCAACAAGGGTGGCTGAAGTCAATTGCCAAGCATTATCAGCTTTGTTCATCCATTGGGAATTTGAATCATCTGGTTGATGATTTCTAGCCAAGTACAAGTATTAAATTATTAATTATTGTAGAGCACATATTACGTGAGTTCAAGATTGTAGATTCCTCCTCATTCCAAATTGCACAATGCTGATTATAGTTCAGTATTTAAGGTTTCAAATTGCAGATTAAACATTAAGATTAATGCATATTAAATATTACAGTTCCAAATTTCAAATTATTTCAGATTATAGATTATAGTTCCACATTATAGATTATAGATTACAATTCTAGAGTGTAAATTGCATATTATAGTTCACAAATAAAATTGAATGGCTAAAAAACATTCACAATTTCATAGTCCACTTCAGGCATACCATTAGGTTGTGTCCCAGAAGCTAGAACATTAAAATGTAACAATAACTACAATAAAATAAGAAAACAATTCAAGTAAACAAATGTCAAATAGTGAAAGAAAATCAAACAACAAGAAACTACAAAGAAGTCAAATAACACTACTACGTAACTAACCTTTTATCCCAATTCGAGTTTTCAATAATCTGTTATCTATGTTCATATGCTCGGTCAGCTAAAACTACCGTCATATTGTATCTAACATGTATAATACCCTTTTGTCTTTGTATCACAAAGATGCCAAGCATATTGAAGAACGACAATGAAAAGTAAAATTATAGAGTGTCGTCTTATAAGATAAACAAAATAGGAGAAATTATAATTCAATAGTTATACATCTTCTCAGAGCACATAGAGTCTGAACAAATAGTCAAATTGAGATACATCAAAATTAAAAACTAATGAGGATGTAAGTTGCAATATAATGTTATGTTATTAACAAGATACATGAGTAGATCACGAGAAGAGTAAAAAAGAACTTATAACATGAAATCTTACATAAGTTATATGTTTGTGATATACTAAAATATCATTTGTCTTTTATGAGCATGTACGTGGCTTATCACTTCATCTTATTTAGATGTTAGGCTGCAACAACTGTAAGAAGAAACACTACTAAGTAATCAGAAAAAAAAAGTTGAACACTACTGATGCACAAAAAGACAAGAAACAATTCAAAATTTTGAAATATGTAATAGGGGCGTTTATGCTCAGACGAACTGAATCTCATTTCAAACAGAATACGGACTAATACCATAATTGTTACTCTTCAATATTTTTTCTTCAGTTCTTCAAAATTCTTTCTGTTTCATTGACATTTTTCCAACTTTTTCGTCACGAATTAAACATGAGCATTTCGATAAAAGATCGCTCAGATTCCGATCTCTTCCCTTCCACTTCCGCCGCTTTGAGCGCTGAAGATCGTGCTATTTTTGTAAATGCACTCAAGAATAAGCTTCAGAATTTTTCTATGGAGGACACGGACATATTTACGACATTGTTACCACAAGTTAGAAAGTGTGTTGATGCTTTGAGAGAGTTGCAGGGTTAACATGATGAGCTGCAACCTAAGTTTTTGGAGTGTACTTACTTATGAACCGCTGTGCACAAAGAGATATGAAATAGTAAATGGCATTGTTGCAGTGGAAGGTGTCAATGTGGCTCCCCTATACCAACAAGGCAATAAAGGGAAAGAAGATGGTACAGAAAATATCGTTCCAAACTTCTGGCTGAATGTTATGCTAAATAACAGATTTACTGGCATTGCTTTCTTTTGTTTTCCATTTCCATATATAGAGAGAGGAGAGAGAAAGCGAGAGAGAGATCTTGTGTGGGTTTATATATGTATATGCATACAAACACACACACACACTCATATATATATATATATATATATATTCAAAGAAGCAAATCTGTGGGAATATTTTTTGGGGTGGAATTTGGAAATTGGATCTGACATTAAAAGATTGCAGAATGGAAGATGGCATATTCTTTTGGGGCCCTGTAACATCTAAAGAGTGGTGTGAACCAAATTATGTGCAGTCATCCTATATTGCAGAGTTCTTCTAAACAATTTCAAATATCTCATTCATTCTCTTGGCTCTTATTGGTCTTGTGTACGCCCTCAGACAACGGTTTGAGAAAAAGTTCAGTGTCCTTCACATGTCAAACATAATACTTGGCTTTGGGAGTATGACATATCATGCCACTTTGCGACAGATGCAACAGCAAGGTGATGAGACACCAATGGTCTTGGAGGTGCTTCTGTATATTCTATTCCTCTATTCATCAAATTGGCATTATCAGAATACAATGCCCACCTTTCAGTTCCTTTATGGTGCAGTCTTTGCCATTTATAACATAGTTGCATTACGCATAAAAAGAAACAATAGAATTGAGGAATGATGAAAACCAGAGTACAAGGGTCTGGAAAAACAAGAGCAAAACTGGACCTCACATAGCTACATGCAAATTACCTAACTAATGTCATATTGTGCATCATAATGGTCAGTACTATTTACAGAATAACAACCCTTTAAATCAAATTAAAAGTTATAGCACAGATAATACAAGTTGTGTGGGATCAAGGAGAAGAGGTAATGAAAGGACGCAAGCAGACAGCTAGAACAGGAAACCATTCTGCTTCTTTCTAGCGAGCTTTTAGCATGCTTGATGTTCCTAATTACCAATATTGAATCAGCTTACAAACATTACAACTTAAGGATGGTGAAAATTAGAGAAAAATGGTCAGCAAAACAAGGAATCACAGAGCTAATTGCAGATTACCTCTAAAGCCACAAGAGAAGAACTGGGAGCCTGTCATGCTATCAAAAACATTATTGTACCTTAGACATCTCTAAATCGATTAGGCATAAAACAACTATCAGTACTACTTATGTGGTCAGTCTTCTAAGTAGATGTGCATCTCTTTTTTGTTAATTTGCATATCTATTATCTGCTTATGAATATCTAAGTGTGTCTATTAAGCACGCAAAACTCATTCTAACATTGGGCCCGTAAACTAGTAAAGCGGAAAAAAAAACATAGTACTTATAAGCAGGACATGACAACCTATATTCTCATGGGCGATTTCAATCTTAATCAACTTATCGGTTTAATGAAAAACAAAAGTTATCATGCCTAATGAATCAATATAGCGCACAACAAGAATCAACTAATGGGTGTAATAATACTACAATCTGGAATCCCAAAAATCAACAGCACAAGGAAACAAAAATCTACCCCCACATAATAAGCCTAGATGCAACAAATTCAGACTTTTAACGGTAGAAAGTTATAGCTGATAAACTCTATTCTTACAAAACCTTTCAATGTAATGAAGCTTCACGATATAATCTTCACTTCCCTGTTCCTGGTGAACAACGACAAAAGAATAAGGAATTTTTGAATGTCGGCGACAAAGAAAACAAAATCTTAAATGGAGCTAAATGAGCTTTGATTTGAAATTTTTATTTCTCAAAAGATAGTAAAACATCAGAGAATAATATTGAAATCAGAAAAGATCGTGAATGGAGGAGCTAAGTGTTTTTGTGAAAAATCATTAATTTGTGTGTTGATGTAGTCAGAAATCATTATCTTTTATCAACAAATTACTACTACCAAACAAAGAACCATTCAATATCCACTGTTCTCATCAAAATTATAGTAAAACAAAAGTACTAGAATTACTAGAAAATATGAAGATAATGGACTAAACATTGAAGTGTGAGTACCACAAATACCGGCCCTACCATGCTTGCAGGCTTGTAAGAGATGGAGAACTCATCTAAGTAGTGACTAATAATCTCAGGCTTGACCTCAATCCGATTGAAATTAAAATTTTCCTTTGCATATTTCAATAATACATCAAATGATCTCAGGAACAATGACCATGTTACTCATATGTATTATCACAACCTCTTGCTTCTCCCTCATGTTTCACGTTGCGGAGTTTCTTGATGAATGCCATAGCTTTCTCTTCAATCTTTGCTGGAATATTCTGTGAGGACGAAAAAGCAAAAGATTAACAAGCTCATCAGTAGACATGTCAAGAAAGAATCAGATCTACTTCTTTATAGCTGAACTTCTGGAACGTTCTCTTTCTTGGGTGTTTGGTAGCAAAATCAGCTTACACTTCTGCCATGGCTTCGATAATGAATTGGCTGCTAAGATCTTCTGAAAGTGACTGCAGCTAGGATTTTGAGGATGACAATAAAAGAACTCTTTCAAAAACATGGAGTATTTTTTTACTTCATTATTAATTTTCTTTTTGGCTAAATAAAAATGGGAGGGAGAGTTAAATTTGTTGGAGGGAATATAATGTTTTAGTGAAAACTATCAAGCCACACTTGACAAGTGTTGTTTTTATTAATTATAAAAATAGCACATTTTAGAAGTGTAGTCATATATATAAATATGTGTGGTCAATTATATCATGATCACACTACACTTATAAAGTATAGCCTATATTACTAAAGAGCACATTTTACAAGTGTTGTCAATATTACTCTCGTCAAAGGTTAAAAAGTAAGGCTACACTTTTAAAAGCCTTAAAAAATTAAGGAAACATTTTACAACGGTTGTCTTGATTTTTTGTTTCTTTAGACCTAAAATGGTGTAGTGACATGCACCCCATATAGATAGTGTGTCCAAATCTTTAAAGCAAATACCACAACCGCAAGATCAAGGTCATGAGTTGGGTATTCTTTTCATGAGGTATAAGTTGTCTAGAGGTGCATGCTATAACTTTGCCATGTTGCATGAGCACACATCCTAGACCAACTCGGGAGGCATCACAATAAACCACAAACCCATCGGTACCCTCCGGTAAGGTCAATACCGGAGGTGAGGGGATTCTATCTTTCAATAATTGAAAACTCTTTTCACATGATTCCAACCATTCCAATTTGGAATTCTTTTGGGTTAAGGTCCTTAATGGAGATGCGATAGATGAAAATCCCTCAACAAACATCCTATAGTAACCGGCCAACCTTAGAAAGGATCAAATGTCGGTAGGACTCAAAGGTCTAGGCCAACTTTTGACCACAACCAACTTTCTCGGATCGACCTCAACCTCTTCACTCGAAAACATGTGACCAACAAAAGCTACCGACCTCAACCAAAATTGAGATTTGCTAAAGTTAGCAAGAAGATGGTTATCTTTGAGAATTTGTGAAACTATTCTCAAATGATCCATATGATCATCGTCACTCCTTGAGTATATCAAAATATCATCAATAAAGAGAATCACGAACAAATCAAGATATTTTCAAAAAACTCGTTTCATGAGGTCAAATGAAAGCCCCCGGGGCATTTTTTTAGGCAAAATGACATAACGAGGAATTCGAAATGACCATATCTTGTTTGAAATGTCGTTTTTGGAATATCAACCTCCCTCACCCTAGTTGGTGATAACCCGATCTCAAGTAAATCTTTGAAAAGGAACTCTCTCCTTGGGGTTGATCAAACAAGTCATCAATCTTAGGGAGCAGGTAGTTATTGTATGTAGTGACTTTGTTCAGTTGACGATAATTGATGCACATTCTCAAAGACCCATCATTCTTCTTCACAAACAATACCGGGTCACCCCATGGAGATATGTTTGGTGGAATAAAACCTTATATAGAAAATCTTTGAGTTGAGCCTTTAGTTCTTCAACTCGGTCAGGTCCATCCGATAAGGAGGGAGTTCTGTAGGTTGTGCATTCGGCAATAAGTCTATGTCGAAGTCAATCTCCCATTCGGGAAGGATTCCGGGAAGATAATCGGGAAAGACCTCAGGAAAATCCCTCACTACGGGTACTGACTCTATGGGACGGAATTCGGATTCAAGATCCTAACTCTCACTATATGGTAGAGACAACCCTTGGCAATAATTTTGCAAGCTTTTAAACACAAAATGATCTTACTGCTAGGTTTTGAGTTTCCTCCCTTCCACTCAACAACGGGGTCATTTGGAAATTGAAATTTGACCATCCTTGACCTACAATCAATAGAGGCAAAACACGCATACAAGCAATCCATTCCAAATATAATATAGAAATCTAGCATTTCATGTTCTATGAAGTAAACCAGCATAACTCTATTGGACAAGGAAATAGGACAACCTTTATAGACTCTTTTTACCACTACAGATTCACCCACCGGGTAAGAAACTTAGAAAGGCTCATCTAAGATGTCGAGTAGTATATAAAATTTCATGGCTACAAAAGGGTTACAAATGACAACGTAGCTCCCGGAACCAAAAAAGTATATACATAAAAGGAAAATAATTTTAACATATCTGTGACCATATCCGGTGAGCTTTATTTATCACTTCGGGATTAGAAAGCATATAAACAATTCTTTTTAGGATCATCCAGATTTAGGGCATTTGCTTGTGTTTGAGAATGTTACCCTCCTTGAGTCTTCATCATAGGGCAATCTTTCTTCATGTGACCACTCTTGCCACAATTATAGCAATTACCCATGCCCACAAGACAATTGCCATCATGTTTTCTTCCACATTTAGAACAAAGAGGCCTATCCACATAAGAACGACCACCTTTTCTGTCTTGGGGCTTGGGAGTAGGCACCTTACCCTTATTGGCCCTTAGAGCACTAGAAGAGACTTGATTAGAAAACCTCTTCTTGAATCTTTGTTTGTCTTGAACCTCATACCTATTCTTAGAAAAAATCCCCTCTTGGGTTCCCACCTTCTTCAACTCCCTACCAACTTGCTTGAGCTTTTGCTCCTTAATTTGTTCGGCATGAACCATGAGATGAGAGATATCTATGAAAGGAATCAACATAGCGGACCTACACTCATTTAACAAAAAATCGGATATCCCCATGACAAATTTGTTCGTCTTAGCTTTAGAATCTTTAACTATAGTAGGAGCATGCTTTGATAGTTGATTAAACTCGAGGCTTAACTCCCTCACAATCATACCCCCTTGACAAAGGTTGATGAATTGTTTAATTTTTTTCTCCTCAATTTCAAGGGAAAGAACCTATCAAGGAAAGCCGTCTTGAAAGCATCCCACGTAATCCAATCTTATCTAACCGGCCTTTCATCCCTCCATTGCTCATGCAAAACTTGAGCCAAATCCTTGAGTTGGTAGGCAGTTAGTTCCGCCTTTTCTTGAGATGAAACAACCATAGCATCAAGAACCTTGAATACTTCATCAATGAACCCCTATGGGTCCTCCTCCATCTTAGAACAATAGAAAGTAGGGGGTTGTTCCTTAGGAAATCCCTAATCCTTGAAGCTGTGGTATTTGCATTGGGTTCACTTTCACCCTTGTATCCCTAGAAACTTAGGTAGCCAACACTTGAGTCAAGCTATGAATGTCCGACCTTATCTCGCTATTAGACATAGCCCTTCTTCAATAGGAACTTGAGGGTTTTGAGGAGCTTGGGGGAACCGCCTCATTCAAATTCTCCTCTCTGGCTCTTCGAGCAATGTTCCTTCTTGTATTCATTGCCTATAAGCAAAAATAATTGATTAGAAGGAAGGACTAGATAGAGTTAATACTTTTAGGCACAACTAAGAAATAACAAGAGAGTGAAAGTTCCTAAGCATCACATAATCTCTCATTCATAAGTGTGGTGCGCTTAACAATTATGAATAAAACCATACATAGACGTGGTTTAATGAGACATCAATACTAAGAAGATTTAATATGTGCTATGATACAAAAAATTTTACAACCCAAAGTATCCCTTAGGGGTAACCAGCGTCATCATCCTCTAGGAGGACTAAGACAAGCCTCTTAGCATTCATCATAGCAAATCATATGTCAAAATCCCGGAAAAATTAAAACGTTTGCTTATATAGGAAGAGGCTTACATATACCTTTACATAGGAAGCATATATAGACTTCTTGCAATAGAAAACATAATAAAGCATAGGAATTTAGTCTAATACTTTATCTCATATCAACCATCTAAACGAAGTCAAAAAATACGGGCAAAGCCTTTACACAAAATCATAATTGACATATAAAGCTTACATTAATATCTTAAACAATTGGAAAAAATGAATGTCTATTAGACAATACAAGTACTACTAATATAAAGTGTGTGGTAGCATCCTCGAACTAGAAGTCATACCAAAACTTGGAGAGTCTAGTCCAATTCATCCCCGATTTTTGATGCCAGAATTCCTCTAATCTCATATAGTTCTTTAAGTCAACTTCGACCTTACTCAATGCAGCCCTGTTATCCACTTATGGGTGTATTTGCAATTGTGCCTCCCTTACTCTAATGATGTCCTTCAGCGTGGAAATTTATTGGAAAAATTTGTCAAAAACACTCTTACTCCATGCAGCCAGAGTCTTGTTTACATTCTTCATTTTCGCATGAAGTTCCATGAAATGTTTCCCTAAAAAATTAGTTTTCTAGCTATCCACCACTATTTTCTTAAACTATTGATGTTTGCACCAAAAGTGTAGGGTGCCTACAACTCAAATAAAGATGTGCATGATCCAACCCTGCCTAATCAGATGTTGAACCTCTAGCGAAGGAAAGACATCCAAGAACTCTTGATTCACCAAAATCCTATCCAATCTTTAAAATATGCAAGCTTCCTCAATTCGACCATTCCATCAAGTATACTTACTGAAAAATGCACTTCTGATAGCGCATTGCTAGTAATAAAAGAAGCAAAGTCAGAGGCTTCATTTATAGTGAAATCGAGCCCTCCCAAATTTTCCTCATTTAATATCACATAAAATCTCCACCACTTATCCAAGCGAACCCTACACTCTCTGCAATGCTATCCAACTCTTACCCTAATTTCAGTCTCTCCAATGCAGTACACCTAGCATATACTACTGAGATCATGAATTCCTTATTACTCTTTTTGAATTGAAAGGTGACCTGTTGAATTGTGTCCAGAACGATGTTTCCTACCCAATCATCTCTCCAAAAACACAATATTTTCCAATTTTGATTAACATGTGCATTATCAAAGCCAAGCTGCCTTTTATACTGGTCTAACTCTAAAGGGTTTTGAAATGGTTCCATAAGATCTATAAATGAATCTTGATGTCTATTGTTAAATCCAACAACCTCTCAAAAGATTTTTGACTATTGATGGCTTTGATGTTCCAAAAGATCAATTTTTCAATCATTGATCAATACTAGAACCCCTCTCCCTGTTGTTCCTTGTTTTGACATGTAATGAGATCACCGGTCTACCTATCCTTTCCCCATATTTGCGGCAGATCACCAACCTTACTGATTTGCTCAATGTTGTACTCCATGTCTTCATCTTCTTCTGTGTATTTTTTATGTTGTATTCCTGCTTCCTCCTCTTCAAATAAATATGGCCTTTAATAAACTC